CACGAGAGTATTCAAAACACACCAATAACCACTTGATTTAATTGAAGTCGAAAATTTTAAGTCAAAAATCGTATAGCTTAACGTGTAGCTAAAAATGTTTGCTGCAAAAGTATACAATTTTAACCGTTATGACTCCCTGTTATTCGTTATCAAGCTGGTGGATGATTACACCACCAGCATGAAAATTATTTACCAGGGTAAAGCCGGTGATGCGGATCCAGCCATACAACATGGAACACGTTACCGATAAAAAAACCATGCACCCGACCATGCTCATTGCGTGATACAGCAAATTGATATGGCGTATAGCTCTGAAACTGCTCGTTCAGGTGTGTGAAGCCTTCCGGCTCAGATGTGTGTCGCCAGTCGATAGGATGAGATTTCAGGGCGGCACTGCGCCCAGCCATAAACTCATTAGCCGTCAGTGAGGAAAGAGCTTTCAGACGGTCAAGCACCTTGCAAAAATAAGCAGAATCCTCGGCTGCAAACCTGAATTTTTCATGATCTGCGTCGATATAGCGAAAGGAAAAATTAATGGTCGTTACAGCCTGATGGTTTTCGCCTGCGGTAATACGGCTACCCTTTTGGGCCAGTTTCCCGGCCCTGATACTTCCTTTTCCCATACTCACGATGCCATAGAACGATAAAACTCTGCCGTTACCTTTTTATCTATAACATTCCGACATGGCGCGTCTGCCGGCACGCCTTCACGCGCTAACAGCCAGGGTTTTTCCTGATGGGTCAGTTGTTCCAGTTCATAAGCTGAGTACCCCCCAAACACCTGGTAGATTTCATCTAGGTGTTTTTTAATTTCATCGGATAGTTCAGGGCACTGTATTTCTTCATCAATTGGTCGCCATTTGTAATCAGCAAAACGGCTATACAGTTCACGAGCTACTGGACCATGTACCCAAGCCTCAAACTGGTCAGGTATCAGTTCCTGTCCCCCATTTAAGGCCATATACCAGGCATCAGCATAAAAAACCATCTTTTGCAGTTTAAGCGGCGTCATTACGTCGCCGTGCTCCTGAGCGAAGCACAGCAGATAATCCGCCACACTGTTCAGGGTAGTCACTGCCATTGGTTTCATCTCCTTATCATCGTTCATCAACGTTCACCGCGGTTCATTACCGTCTATCTATGCCAAATATCTCATACAATCGATGAAAAAACGATGCTCAAAAATGCTGTAGTAAAGTTCAAAAATTTGCTAATCCCCACCACCAGCCACACGTAAAGATGCTGTGTTAAATCCCCCTTCAAAGCCCCTTCGAAGGGTTATCCGTAGGCTTAATGTTTGGCTTGGCTGTAACCTTACCGAACGCTCCGCTCACCGCCGCGACTAGTCCGGTTTCTTCCTCTGTAATGGGCCGCTTGTCCATTACAGTAACGGAAATAATTCTGTTAAAAATTACCCTTCAAATTCTTGCTCCACAGAATCATTATCTGCGCATACAAAACCAAGCGCTTCCCCAAATCTCTCACGCGGAAAACCAGATTTTGGCACCCCCATAGAACTGTATGAACATCCCGGCATATTGGGTTTTTTGTCAAAGAGATCTGCAACCTGGCGGATCCATGTAGAATTTGGCCCGATCATTTTGACCAAATACCAAATAACACATATCGCACTATAAAGACGCTCACTCGCAGGGGCATCTATTCTCAGTGAATTGAAGAAGGTTGTATTTGGTATTGGGATTCCGGCATGTTTTCTATTCCAGATTCTGGAATGATGCGCACAACGATTACGCAAAAGATTCAGACATTGCAACCATTTGGTTAATGTTTGTTTATTGTCGATATTTAATCTTTTAATTATTTTGGCTTGTATACCACCATTCAGCATCGCGTAATATTTTGACATTTGACCAAAATCCCAGGCTTCAACAACTACCCAAAAAGGGATCTCCTTCCCCTGATTCAAATGCCAAAGAATGCACTCATCCCGGCTATCTTCCAGCTTTTTATCGAGCTTTTTCTGCCATTTTGTAAACGTGCTGGGTTTTCCATCATTAAGATAACGCTGGTTTATGTAGGATTCCTTTCTGTAAGCAAGCGGATCGTATCGCCCTAATTCATGAGCGATAACGGAACGAATATGAATCTCAATACGTTCCAGGGCATCCATCATTAACATTCGAAGTTTTTTATCAAAAAGATAAAGATCGTATGCCTGCTCGAATGTAGTGCCAGGGAGAAATTCATCGCTCCTGAATGAAAGGCCTTCATCATTACAGCGAATGACGCGCGACGTATACCAAAACCCGGACAAGCGATAATAACCAACCTGAGACAGTTTCCTCATGGCTCGCTTACAATCTCTGATTACCATGCCACGACTCAATAAAATCTCAAGCTGCTCTGAATATTCCTTATGTGGCTTTGCGGCAATCATACTCGTCACATGTTTTTGACAATAAAAGGCCCGACCGTGAGACTCACAAACAAAAAAGTTACGGAGAAACAGGGGATCGGGCTCGGTTGCCGCTAAATCTATTCAATTAAAAGAAGATGTCAATAGGGAAAACGAAAAAAAACAATGCTGATATTGTCATAATTTGAACAAAACCACTATATGTAGTTTTAGTTCATAAGGTTAGTCGCTACCAGATGCGTCAATAGTTTTTTGCTATTAATAATCCCTCTTTTTCCATGTTTTTCCATCGGGAGCTTTGCACTTGTCACTACCTGGTAACTCCTGGTGGCGTTCCGGTTGCAGCACAACGGAAACAGGCGCTGAACACCTGTTAATTTTGCCTGCTGGCGGTCTGATTCCGGCAATTTGGCGAATCATTTTGAGCATTTCGGCTTCGGTCATTGTCATGGTCTCCAGGGGGATGGGAAACAATGCCGTAATTGTGGCGACTGATAACGGGAAGGTGAAGCGCGTTTAAGCTGGTGGATGTGGTGCCATGTTTCCCACCAATGGGGGAAAAGCCCACCAGCGCAACGCTGAGCGCATAAAACTATTGCGATGGCTCATGGCATGGGGATAACCACAAAACAACGTCAGTGGCGCGATTCTGGCTGCTCCTGCCCGGGATGTGCGTACGTATTACGTACGCAGTTAATTCGGCATAACACACAACGTTGATAAAACGCCCTGATCGTCGTGGGTCCTCCTGGTGGGGTACCCTTACCGCGGGGCGGAGGACGCGCGGAAAAAGGCTAGTTTTTGAAATTTCATTCGTCATCACCACTTCTGTAATAGATTGATATTACAGTATTTTTATTTTTGTGGTGTCGATTTTGATTGTTTTTTTGTTCATCACTAACACCGTTTGCCTAAAGTCGTTCGCAAGATGCATGTTTAAAACATTCTGGAGCGGATATGGATCGAGAGTTAAAAAACCATCCCCTTCCCACCGTAAAAACTGCGCATCGATGTTAAGGATTGTTAAGGTGTTTTGCGCAACATTCGCGATAACCATGCTTAGAAATGCCAGGGTTTTTTGCGCAAAAATGGCAGGCAGTGCAGGAGAGTCACCAGGGGGGGGATTACGTGCCGCTACTGCCAACTTCCGGTATACAGCGCTACCAGCATGATAATGTTCAGAGGCAACAAAAAGGCGCGTCGTCAAAGATGCGCCTATGGTGGTAGCTTGCTGGTGGTGTGCGTTACTCTGGTTTCTGCCGTAACTTCTCCGGCACGTTTCCGGTTGTTTCCATCAGATAGTCTCCCAGAATGCGAGGCAGGTTATCGGCAGTTTTAGCGCACGCATTACAGGCGCGTGCTGTTTCCCTCCTCAGGCCATCGATCATTGCCGGAGTCATCGCGGGAAACTGCCTTTGCATCGTAAGGGGCAAGCTATTCATGATGGTTGAAATCTGTTGCGCCAGTTTAGACAGTGCATACATACAAAAGCCGGTATCTATAACCTCTTCTGTCTCCCTGGCGTTCTTCAGTTCCTGCCCGTCAGCCTGTGCTTTAGTGAGACGGTATCGTTCGTATTCTGTTGTGCCTGGCTGTAAATCTGATTCACCAACGGCACGTAAATCATCAAGCTCACTGCGGAGTTTTTCGTTTTCGATCTCCTTCTCCCTCTGTACATACCATTCGATCACCTGTGCAGAGTCGAAAGTCACCTCCACACCTTTTCCGCCACCAGATACATGGGGAAGCCCTTGCATCTGCCAGCGTTCAATTGTGCGCGGATCAACACCGAAAATCTCTGCCAGTCTCTTTTTGTTAACATTCATTTATCAAATCCTCATCAAAAACCACCTCCGACATGAAACGCCTGAAAAACGGGATTTTCCGGCGTTATGGTGTCGTATGTTTATGATAGTTAGTTGCAATAAAAACATAATGTTACATGCAAGAAGTACCGACATGCTTTTTCCCGGAAAAATTTTCATAAATGGTGAAAATCTGCGCGTCTGCCGCCCCGTGGTGTTAATGGTTCCGGAAAGGACCCGTGAAAAGTCTCCGCCCCTGTCCGGCAGTGCAAGAGGTGTTTTTAGGGAGACCCTTTTCAGCCCATAAAACTGGAAAAATCACGGTTTTTTTAGTCTGCTGGTGGAGTGAGTTTTTTTAACGATGCCAGTAATGGCGCGGGTTGGGCGTGGTTTTGTCTGATAGGTTTTATCTATCAACTCTGCGCACACCTTCCCAAAAAAAGTTTTCGATCCTGCGGCGATGCGAAGAAGGGTTGGCGGGCGGTCCCTGACAGCCAGGGCAACAAGGATTTGATCCGCCCCTCCCGTTGATGATAACCGTTATCAATTGCCCAACCAGCCGGATAGTGACATATCGTGACGCGCCGTGACACTGCCACCAGCACAATAATGAACGTAAAAAATCACGTACCAGGAATGCGACGGCCTGAAGCATTGCCAGAACTCCCCATACCACCACAGCAGAGAACGGCAAAGCACAGATAAAAAAATACCCCGTGATTACGGGGCGGAAGGATAACAGCCATCAGGAAATGTCAGCTACCACAAAGCAAATAACCATGAACAACGATTAAGAGTACGGAGAATAACCGCTCGTTCACTCCGGATAATGCCATCAGGTCAGGAGGATGGCAACGCACAGACCATAACGCATCGCCACCAGCCTTGTGGGTTATCACGCAGCGATACCAGGAACCCGGTATCGTGATGCGGCATGATTCAGTGATAAGCATCACCGCTCCCGCTCACATTTGACACAGGCAACTCCATCTGGCAGGTGAAAATCAGATTTATTTATATATTTCAATTGATTGCGAACTGGTCTAATGACAGGGGAGAAAAAAGATTGTACAGGTGAAAACAGAAATAACTTTTAATTATCAATACATTATCACACATGCTGCCGCCGCCATGAAAATGCAAAAACCAGCCGTTTTCCGCGCGTCCGCCGCCCCGTGGCAAGGGTACCCCACCGGGAGGACCCGCAAAAAAAGCCGGAGTGTTCCGGCTTCGTCTGTGTGTGCGCATATGCAGAATTTTATGTTATCCGCCCACGGGAGTGATGGTCATTTTTCAGGATAATATCCTGCATCACTGGTTGTTGTTTGGCTGCTTCGGATAGTTCCGCCAGACAGATTTACCTGCGTCTTCCATCCCCATTCCCGCATGAGTACGTTTTACAGCCTCTTTCAGTGCCCCGAAGTTATCCGCTATAACGGGTGGGCGTGCTGCCTTATGGATACATTCCGCGCGACGCTTTGCCGCCTGTTCGCGCTCCTTATCGGTGTTCACCAGTTGCATAACCTCAGCCCACCGCGCCGCCGCTCTCCGGTACAGCCCTTTAGCCTCCAGTTCTTCCGCTTTGCTGTCGTGAATCATGCGCTTGTCTTCTCCTTTGCTGTCCGGCGTTTACGCTTCTCATTCAGTGCCATCAGCCGCGTTTCTGCCTCCTGCTGTTCCTGTGGTGTCACTTCCCCACATGGCTGGCCTTTCAGGTCATAACGTGCACCACCAGCTATCAGGGCGCGGTAATAGCGCGGAGACTGCGCATAAGATGCCAGCGTTGCACGTAATGCCCCCGGCCCGAATGTCAGCCCCCTGGCGGCGATATCCTGCATCAGGTCGTCGAATATTCCCACCTTCAGCGGCTTTGGCGCTTCCCTGTTGAATAAGTCAGGCCACATCTCAGTGAGGCGGTTAACGCGCCTGCGGTTTTTGCGCTGGCGTTTGGTCATATGCCGCCACGGTGTCGCCTCTGTGGGCTTCTGTTTGCGGCTCTGCTGTGCGTTCTGATTGCCGGGTATCACTTTATGCGCCGATGTGGTTTTATCCTGCTGCTGTGCCGTCTGCGTTGTTTTCTGCGGCGTGCCGTAAATGCCTTTCGGTTTTTGGTTAATGGTCAGCTTTGTCATGCCTTCCCCTGTAATTACTCTGTTCTCTGTTGTGAATTAAAACGGTATGTTATCCCCGTACGGATCATCGTGCTGGCCTGTCTGTTGTTTTGCCCTGTTCAGTGCGTCAGTGGCCTGGCCCTGTTGACCTTTTTTGCCGCCCGGTCGCGCCGTTCTGGCACTGATTACACTGTCTG